TTCTATTATCTCTTACTCTACAATCTCTTCTCATCCTCTTTCTCCCCTTTCTCTCTCCTTCTCTCTGCTATCTCTCCTCTCTCTCTCTCTCTCTCTCTTCTCGTCTCTCTCTCTCATCTCTCTTCTCTCTATCTGCTCTCTCCTCTCTCTCTCTCTCTCTCTCTCTCTGCTCCGACTCTTACCTATCTTCCGCCCTGCTCGTCATATATATTTCCTCTTTTTATCGCCTCCGCTGGTCGCGAACGAGCGCTGTGTGTTTGTGAAGAGTGTTTTGGTGCCCTGCGTAGCGCAGCGTAGTCCTGCGTGCGCGCGTGCCTGCGTGCACAACGTCCCATATATTTGTCTCGCTGGTATATTGTTCTGTTTTCGTTATTTCTTGTGCGCACATCTCTCCGCCACGTCTATATGCACTCTCTTCTCTCTCTCTCTCTCTCTCTCTCTCTTCTCTCTCTCTCTCTCTCGTCTCTCTACTCAATCATCTCTTCTCTGTCTCTCATCTCATCTCTCTCTCTCTCTTCTACTCTCTCGTCTCTCTCTCTCTCTCTCATCATATTTAGCGGTCGGATACTGACTTGTATGCGATGCGAGGAAGTTCGTAGTAATAGCCAATGTGTCGAAAATGCCTGACGATGCCATTGCCCACGTATTACCGGCAGTTCGGATCAGACCGTATTTGCCCGTATCGGAAATACGGGTCATAGATTTTCAAAGTGCCCTGTCGAGAATTAGCAGAAAAAAATACAAAAACTGAAAACAATTTGATGGAATTAAATAGAGCTATATTCTTTATTTGTTTATTTATTTCTTCTGATTAATTAGACAGGACATTGAAGGGCAAATCAAAATTGTTACAATGGTAAACAAACTAGCTCTTGCATATACTGAAAAAGAAAGGAAGGTGCTATAAAAGAATTCTATTCTGCATTAAGTTAGCTGGTATGCAAAAGGCGCAGGCAAAATGAAGCAGAAAAATAAAATTCCAATATGGTTTTTAGCTGATTGCTTGCTTGACTAAATGTAAGTGCCTCAAATGGTATGCTCATTTGCTGAGCAGGGACCCTTGAAATTTTGGAATTTCCTGGGGGAGCCCGCAGACCCCCCGCCAGTGAAACTTCGCAGCTCTGACGGCGCTCATGTGAGTGGCAAATGCTGCCTTTTATTGGGGAGTTGCCACTTAGAAAATGCTGAAACATAATACTGTCTAGACATCAGCCCTTGATCGCGCCTACTGGAAATACACGGCACATTTACGCACTGATGACTAATATAGCTGGTGATTGAAATGAGATTGCAATTTGCATAGAACTGCCTATATCTTTCCTCAGCCATAAACCAGCATAGCTGATATATGCTGGCATTTATGGGGAAATAAATGTAAACTTAATGCTATCTATAATAACAAATCGGGAACTGAATCAGGCGAGAACTGGGGAAATTGCTTAATTTGAATGCCAATATCTTATAGTTATATTGTTGCCGTGGAAATGTAAATTTTAACCTACGACATATTTATTGAGTTTACTTATTAACATACGTGTTTATCTTATGATCTCCCGTGATCTGGCTTGACTATAGGACACCCCGCGTCAACTCAGCTACAACGTAGGCAGGTTAGGACAACATCGCCATCTACTGGCTGATAGAGAAAGAAAGATAGAGAGAGAGAGAGATAAAGAAAGAGAGAGAGAGAGAGAGAGAGAGAGAGAGAAAGAGAGAGAAATAAAGATAGAGAAATAAAGATAGAGAGAGATAGAGCGAAATAAAAAAAAAGAAAGAGAGAAAGAAAGAGAAAGAAAGAGAAGGAAAGAGAAAGAAAGAGAGAGACAGAGAGAGGGAGAGAAGGAGAAAGAGAAAGAAAGAGAGATAGATAGATAGAGAGAGAGAGAGAGAGAGAGAGAGAGAGAGAGAGAGAGAGAGAGAGAGAGAGAGAGAGAGAGCAGAGAGAGGCTCAATGCGCTAATGTGGCCGTTGATGCGTCTCCTTCTCAGCCGCTGTCATTCATTACCTGGACTGGAGGACATTTTCCGTTCCTCGCGCTCCTTATCATGCTCATGCCGCTCATTGGCCGTGTCTGAATCGTGAATGAAGGATAAACAAGTAAGCACCGCATGCACATACTACGTTCTCATAGCAACAACGTCACAGGGCAACACCTATATTTAGCGTAATTAATGTATAAGGATGAGTAAGACACGGTGATATATACGCACGCACGCACGCACGCACGTATTTTCGAAGGTAACGGCGAATCCCAACGCCAATTTATACATAATATTTCACAATCACATTAATTAACATTGATTGTTATATGTGAATTACGAAAAGATTGCAGCTTGTGCAGCCAACCAAGATGCGGTCGACCTACACTGCTGACTATCGACCAACCCAACAGTTCTCAACATTAGCAGAATTTCGGTGCAGGTAACGTTTGCATTCTTGCGAGCGTTTGATTATGACCATTCATAACCAACCGCTATCCTGTTTCAATCATCACCGTGCCTGTCTCATTCATGCTCGTTACCGGTAGGTGTCTATTACATCGCCATCACAGGTAAGAAAGAAATCATCACTTACAAAATTACATCATGCCTGAAATAATACATCATACGTATAACTGTGACAACCACGAGGTATATAACGATGCGAACTAAAAATGGCAGTTTCACAATCGCGGTAACCTTGTCAGGCAAGTCAATTATCATGACATCAATCGCTCACTTCAAGTAGGGTTACAGTAGCTAAACATTCAGTAATTATATGCAAACGACGCTGCAGAATTGCATATATTACAACCACCACTTATCTGTTCACGATATGTATAGACGGGTTATGAGCGTTTCATGACTGTCAAAATAAATTGCATATATAGTTCCAATTTCTCGCGATGACCATAAAATTAAAATTCACCGCTGACGAATATATCATAAATTGCGTGATTTAGTCGCCGTTTTAATCATTTGCGTAGACCGTGCTCCGTCTCTGGAAATTGTAAACATTAAAAGAGTTTATGGGAGTGAGTCTGATGATCAGCGAATATAAATTTAAGCGGCTCCGAGTATTGCAGCCTTCTCTTGCTTATGCTCTCACTCACAGTGATGGGAAATGCTAATCCCCGGGCGTGGAGGGACAGTACCGCAACGTAGCAGCACTATAGTGTTAGGATTAGGGTTAGGATTAGGATTAGGGTTAGGGTTAGAGTTAGGGTTAGGGATATAAGGCCATGTCTAGCACGGAAGTATGACTGTGGAATCTTTCTGTGGAAGATTTGGACCTTGAAGTCGCGAACTGAATTGTCCCTCCACGCCCGTGTAATAGCAACACTCCACAGTGATAGTTCGCTGTACGACCGGCTCTATATTGCTGCTCGAACTGCTAACCCTGACCCAGTCACGATGCTGCGGTTGCGCCACGCCGCATGAGCCACATTTTTGCCCAGTCGCGAGTTGGCTAAGTGAAGTTATTTGTTGCGAGTTTGTTTTGAGAAGTTTTCAACAGAAAAAACATTGCCACTCCGCCATTTGAACTAGTTCGTTTTTAACGGTGATCTTGATTTTCGCGCTGACGACGCATTTTGCTCGCTGACGCGATATTCCGGAGGCCGAGAACTTCGGCCGAGATGTATACCGCAATTCCAGTGTTTCCTCGACGGCGATATTTTAATCTAAGTTAAGTTACTTAAGTTAGGAAGAGATTCGCGTATTTCGCATTCCATATCGTTTACCATGGACTTCCAGTTCTGACCCGACGATGTCATTTCTGAATCCCCCCCACGCACGCACGCACGCCCACGCTGTTCGCAGACGCACGTCACACACGCACGTACGCACGCACGAAACACATGCCACGCACGTACGCCCGCCCGCACGCGACACGCACGCACGCCATACGCGCACACGCACACGCACCACGCGCGCGCCCCGACACAGCCCACACACACACACACGCCACACACACACAACACACACACACACACACACACACACAACACATCACACACACACACACACACACACACACACACACACACACCTTAATCAGCGAATATTAACAGTGTAGGTAAAGCTGCTTACTCGTGCTGTAAGATATGACACGCGGAGCGTTCGTGATTTTTATATCATGCATATTCCACCCTGTTCAGAGACGTATGACTATTTTGCACTGAAGTAGAAACAACGAATGTCGTGTACTCACATCAAAGGAACATGAGATGCTACACAAGAGCGGCGTTAATTCAATAACTGAATTTTCAACAGAACGAAAAGAGAAAATATTATCTTATTCACGAAAATCAAAGTAAAACATTCGCGTATTCGTGCTACATAAAACGCTCTTTTTTCCTTATCACTAACACTCGCGCAAGACGTCCGGCCGCCAACTGACTCCTATTTTTGATTAAGTCGCAGCAATCGGCTCGAACGCTTAGACGCGCAGGCAGGCATTATACGCACTTCTGAGGCATCTAGGTTTTCCGGACAAGAATGACCCACGCTAGCAGGGTATTGCGATCGCCAAGGCCACTTCGCAGACGTAAACTGTAGGCCAGCGGAGCGTTCATACGGCCTGAACAGTCAGCTGAAGCCATTCTATATTTACGTGGCGAGGGTGGGCGAAACCTAGATACACATAAACGCGAGCGTCGTTATTCATACTGCATATATATTTCATAGCTATAAACATGCATGCGCATGATGCTCACATAAATTGCAATTATTCTTTATTCGCAAAGCTTTATAGATTTTTTGTTATGGTCGTACCGCGCACGGGAGTACATATCAGCGCGCAACGCACGCTACACACACACACACACACACACCACACACACAATCGCCGCCGCGCACACACACGCACGACACACACAGCACACCCTAACACACACACATACGCGCGCACACACACACACGCACACGGGCACGCAACACACACAGACACCACACACACACATCACAGCACACACACAACACACACGGGCCTCATGCACGCACTTGCGAACGCACCGCGCCGCCGCGCACACAGAGCCACACAGCACACACACACACACATCGTCACACCACACTAAACACACACGGGCTCAGCACGCGACGCACGCGGCGGCGCACACACACACAACACACACACACACCACACGGTACGCGCGTGCGTCTCGCGCGACACACACACACACACACCACACAGCACACACGACACACACAACGCCGCGTAGTAAGTAAGTAAAACTTTATTATAAAACGGACAGGTAAAACATGTTAGGTAGTGCACAATGAATTGGGCGCGGCACAGCTATCTTCCACATGGCCGTCTCACAAGCAACAGAACGGCTTAAAATATTAAATGAAATACACAATCCAGAGTTGAAATAGCTGACTAAAATTATCCGGGTTAACTAGAGCAAACCACTGGCCTATTGGGCAAGATTTTCTTCTAGACGGACTGTTAAAAGATAGAAATGGGGGGGGGCGTCTCGAACTTTCAAGGAGTAAATTTATTCCATTTCGAGATGCCGCTGCACACGGCGAAAAGATTTTCGTATCATTTGCAGTGGTGACGGGGCGGATACAAACGCGCTCATCTACACACACAGCAACGCGTCCATTCTGGAGCTCAGCTTCATGTTTAAAAGTAAAAAAAACCGTCAAGATAGGCAGGTGCCCTTGCTTACGTAAATAATTTGTAAAGTTAAAAGAGATAGATGGTAATAAAAACGTTGGCGAACAGTCATAAAACTAGCTGCGAAAAAGATTTCTTCAGTGGCGCGCGTGCTGAAGGATCTACGAATGTTAATAATCAATCGCGCAAAACGTTTCTGCAGGTTAAAAACTTTGTCAATATAACTCTTGGCATTTCCCCACACAACAATACCATAATCAATATCAGGCAAAACAAAGCCAAAGTAAAACTTCAGGCAGGAATCATGGTCGATAAATTTCCTGATCCGCCAAAACAGTGCCAGCTTTTTTGAGATCTTGGCACACACGTTCATTATGTGTTCTTCAAACGTGAGATTATCATCAACATGGATACCTAAAATTTTCTCACTCGACGTGGTGGGAAGAACAGAGCCATCATAGACAGTATAGAGTACCGCGGATGGAAGCGTAGAACGCTTCTGTCTGGAAGTGACCACCATGGTTTTGGTCTTCGATGGATTGATGACCATTTTGTTTTTAGAACACCACTCACGAACTTCCTCCATATTGTTATTTAGACGCTGTTCCAGGTTAGGTAAATATTTGTTAGTAACAACAACGGTGGAGTCGTCAGCATACATATGAATACTGGCATTGTTAATGTGCAGGGGCATGTCATTTATAAACATAATAAAAAAGAAGGGCCCCAAAATAGAACCTTGCGGGACACCAACGGATATGGGCACTTCAGCTGATAATGACCCATTAAAAATACTTATGAGTATCTGTTAGATAAAAAACTCTCGAAGAATTTCATTGCTGCATCATCACATCTATAAATTGTCAGCTTTTTAAGTAAGAGAGAGAGTGATCAACGAGATCAAAGGCTTTACGAAAATCAAGTAGGATAACTCCAGATAAAATATGTTCAGCTGAGTAGATGCATTTGTAAAAAATGTTAGTGAGGTTGATGAGAGCAGACTCACAGGAGAAGTCTTTCATAAAGCCAGATTGATACTTGGATAAGAGATTGTGCTGTTGTAAAAATGAGTATAAATAATCATGCACATGTCTTTCAAGGAGCTTGCTCAGGATACGTAAGACAGATATAGGCCTAAAATTGTTCATGTCAGAAGTCGACCCAGTTTTGAATAAGGTATATACTTTAGCGACTTTCCACTCGGACGGGAAACAATTTTTTGAAATACACATATTTAACACTTTTGCCAATGAGGTAGCTAAGACATGTGATCCGAGTTTAAGAAAACGCGCATCTATTCCATCTAATCCAACGGCCTTACCAGTGTCAAGGTCGGTGAGATACTGACTTACAAAATTAGTAGGTATGGCCGGAATACTAAAACAAGTGTCAGCACCGACTTTTTGCTTGACAAAGTCGTTGGCTGTGCGTTGCGTGCTGGTGCGTGCGTCGCGTGCGACCGTGCCGTGCGTGCGCGCGGTGCGAGCGAGGCGTGCGCGCGTGCGATGCGTGATCCCGGGCGGCGTGCTCGCGAGCGTGCCGTGCGTGCGTGCGTTGCGTTGCGTCGCGTGCGAGCGTGCGTGCGCTGCTTGCGCTGTGGCTGTTGTGTGTGACATTAGGTGAAGCCGTCTGTCTTCTGCTCGCTCTCACTTAATCTTGGTCTGGCATCACTTAGTTTAGAGCAGGTACAGGTTAGACACTCATCCAACATCGTCAGGAAATTAAAGTATGTGGCCGCGTTCAGGTGGCGACTGAAACTATGGCATATTTTTTACCTTTGCCATGGTGTGTGGAAATCCTTGATCTTTGTCGTAGTATCTAGCTTCTAGCTGTATGGGCCCTAATTCCTGCAGATCTACGCAGAAATCTATACGCACAGGAACAGTTGTTTACAGGCGACAATTAGGCCTAATATTAATGTAGTTGCTATTTAAGGCTTCGTACTCCTGGTAGAATCATTAAGAAATACCGAATGTCCAGAAGGCATGCCTGCTCATTATCGTCTCAACTATTTGATCTTTATAATGTGCAAAGCTCGCATAGTATTCCAGAGGTCTCTTTGTGTAGAGCAGAATGCTCGGCAAATGCAGTTAAAATATGCAATGGCTTCCATTTTCATTATTTCATCAGAGTAATAGATATGCACGGGGGTTTGAGGATATGCTTTGTGCACGGCGAGCAATTTGTTCATAAAATATCTCGGCCGAGATGCATAACATGTTGATGTGCATGTGTGTAAATGCGATCTTCAAATGTGTGCGTGTGTGTGTGTGTGTGTGTGTGTGTGTGCTGTGTGTGTGCTGTGTGTGTGTGTGTGCGTGACCCGTGCGTACGTGGCCGTTCGTGCGTGCGTGCGTGCGTGCGTGCGCCCGTGTAGTCAATACCGTAGAGTCAAGAACATGGACTCAGATGCATTCATACGCGACTTGGCCTGAGCTGGGACCTTGGGTTAGACTCGATCGACGACAACCCTGAAGATGCTTCCTTCGCCGATTGGTGATTTGCTTCTGGCAATCCGTTATCGACGAACATGCCCCTCTGGTGGAAGAAGGGGTCAAGAAGCCTTGCCAGGAGCCTGGATGTCTGAGGACATCCTGCACACAATCCAGCAGCGCGACATGATGAGAAGGAAGGACGAATGCCTGATTGACCGCCAAATCAAACACCAATTAAAAAATCGTTGATCCTGCGGCGAAGAAAGATCACTACAGAAATCGGATTGAGGCGGGCCCGCACTACAGTGAGGGGGGGGGGTGATTTGGAGGGTGTTAATTTCTCAAGCGATCGAGGTCCATCGAAACCATCGCCGCCAGTTTCTTCCACCAAGTTCCGCCGGGACTCAAAATGGAGAAGCTTGACGACTGAGCCTGTTCTTTAAGTCAGTGGGCGGACCGCCTACGTGAGAGAGACCTAAATTAACTGGCGCAACCAACCTTGTCAGTTGAGGACTTTGTCAAGCAAAAAGTCGGTGGCGA